TCATTCATTATGAGCAAGTGAACATAATGGCCTAAAACAAATGGTAGAAAGATAAGAAAAATAATATTTTCGAGAAAAATAAATTATTAGTTCGAATTCTTTATTTAGTTTTAGAGCGGCATTAGAATTAGTTGTATATGATTCTTTTTTTTTGTTCGACTTCAAACAGATAATATAGAATTAGAAGCATATTGTTACAGACTTTAGAATTGTTGACAATTATTGTTGATAGTGTTAGAAATGAAGGTGACTAATGGAAAGATCTTTCACGACAAATTGTCAATATTATACTTCTTATTCGTTTACAATCACATGTTATTAATTGCATAATCTAAGGCTATTTTTCTTTTTTTATAATCTTTGATTTCATCTTGCTTTTTGTTTCAGATAGAATCAATCACTGTTAAATATTTTTTATTATGATTAATTGATCCATTTTGTTGTTACTTTTCGAGCATTAGAAAATAGAAATGTTCGTCTTTTGTTTTTTTTTATTTATGAAATTTTCGTGAAGTTTAAATGTTTTTTATAGATATCAATCGTCAAACTATAAATATAATTCTTCGATGCCTTGCACCAAATTAAACTGAAGATGCTAATACTCGACAATCATGTGGTTTAATCAACATTAATTTCCGCATTTGCTTATGGATATCATGGAAGATGGTAATGAACCAAAATTCTACCTGAATGATTGATTTAAAAATTTCGATGTGAAACTTTAAGAGAAATAGTAACTGAACAGATAAAAAACTGATTACCAGTGACAGAAATCAGCTGTTTTTCGCTTATGAGAGAATCTTCTTAAGTGTCCCTCTTGGAGTTTATAGATACTAGAAAATCCCGAAAGAATTTGAGTTGATATTGAAATATAGCTGAGTTATTAGATTGTCTGAGGGGGAGTTCAGGTCACGGAAAAATTTTATTTTCAAATTTCGACTTCAAAGTTTACTCACATTGAGATCTCATCGAGAGTAGCTTTCACAAAAAGTGTCAGAAGTTTTGGATAACATGACTTTCGACATGTATGCCCATTTTCATAAAAGCATGCAGTCGGCACATTCTTTGGAAATCATCATATTTGGAAGAGAGTTTATGCAAAACTTCTAAAATTTTTCGTGGAACCCATTCTCAATGAAATTTCAATGTGAGCAAAGTTTGAGGTCCCCTCAGGCTTCTTGGTTAAGAATCTAATTATAACTCAGCTATATTTCAACATCAACTCATATATTTTTGGGATTTTTTTTACAGCACTATCTAGTATCAATAGACTCCAAGAGGAGCACTTAGGAATATTTCCTCGTTAGTCTAAAGTCACAAGATCTAATCCATTCTCACTAAGACCTATTTTCATACAAAAATTCACATTTTTCTCTAATATTCTTCAATCAGTAATTGGATTTATCTTCTACGATAGTGTCATCTAGCTCATTTATTTGACTTTAAAATTCTTATAATTTTATTTTAGCTAAGCAATTTCGAATAATTTTAAATGATTTTCATCAATTATTAATCCATGATGAAATTCTACATCATCTTGATACATTTTTCATATTTAATTATTTTAAGTTAAGATTTTAAGTTATTACAATGGATACAAATTCTTAATATGTTTTGTTATATACAAAAAAAACATGATAATCATCATTAATAACACATTTATCAATTATTACTTTTTTAATTTGAACAAATCTGTAGATCATTTATTTGGTCTCATAGATAGTTGATTAGTTGCAAGTCATTTATTTGTTGAATTTATATATACTAATTAGAATAATCATATTGAAATGAGGTCAACATTTGATGAACAATCATTAAATAAACAACTATTACCTAAATATTTACCATTTATTTTACAAATATTATCAACGACGAAAACAAATAATATACACCAAATATTGATGCAGAAATACTTAAAAATGTAACTTATAGAAAATAATTACCATTTATGATGTCACTGATATGTTTTGGATTTAACTTATCAAAGTAAATAAAATGAGTATTTTAATCCAATAAAAGAAAAGCATTTCAGATATATTAGTACAATGACTAAACTTATCGGTAAAATTCTGAGTCGTGCGATTTGTACTGTTACAGGTTCAAAAGAAAAAAATGATGTCTTTATAATATTATAAAAAAGAAAATAATTATTAAATAGTTTTAAACATATCTTGTAAGCTGTTTTCTATTGTGTTATTTATTTGCAAACCCAAAATAATTTTTATAAATCAGCAATTTCATGTTTATGACACGTTCTTCGAAACAAATATCATCAACTAATGACTAAGGATACAACAGTGACATTGATCTCATATTCAATTTGACATTTTCGATCGTAGAAGGTCTATAGAAACTCCTATATATTGGGGTTACCGAACTCGGAAAACCTACAATCTATTGTCTTAAAACAAAGTTATTTTCTTGTAATAGTCTTTCTCGATAAAAAAAAATGAAACTAATTCAAGACAATCATAGTTTTATTAGATAATCACTCGCTATCAATTGTCTTCCTAAGAATTCGTATGATTATAAATGTCTCATTATCTTATATTTGATATTAATATTCTATCATTATGGTGTGCATCAACAGAAACATTAATTTTAAAAAAAATCAATGATCTATGTTTTTTTCTTTACCAATACAAGACTATCGTGTTCTAATATACATTCAATATCGATTTATTTTTACACAATATAAAATCATGTTGAATTCATATATGAATTTTCAATAGATGATACACATAATTTATAACGTTTTATTATATTTATGTCGAAAATCATTTATATAAATATATTTCAAAAAAAAAAAATAATTTCTTAGCTGGAATTTAATTGAAAGGAATTTTTTCGATGTTTGACAACATAATACATAATCCGAGATCAATTATATATTAATTACTTTGTGGAACGGATAAAATAAATATCATGTTATACATTATCAAAAACTATATAATTAATATTTAAATATCTTTGTCAACGACATGGTCTTATTGTAAGAGGGTGAGGGTGAATAAATGATGCTATCTTTAGAACACATCCACACCCACAATTGTAAACTTTAGAAATCTAAAATATGAAAAATATTTTCTATGATTTAGAAAGTTGAACTGACACTTACGTTTATTTAAAATACAGTTTGTTCGATCGTTTATTATCTTCTCATGGTCTCGATTTAACATCATCATTATAAATTCTGATTAGACTATATGTTCGTTGGTTAAGAACAAATTCAAATAATTTATATAATATGAAATAATGCGTTCGTTTATATGTCTTTCTGATTTGTTTACAGTATCAGAACAATTATGAAATTTCTATGACCTATATGATGAATATTTTCGTATATTAAATGATGTCATTAGTAAGCTCGAGTTTATAAAAATCTGGTATGTTACTTTGACAAACAACAAAATAATATAATCAATCATTTATAAATGAACATGTTAATGAAGAACAAGAAATGATTGATCGGTTATAAATAATATCATCATCAGATAGTATTCATATTGAACCTGTTCAAGTATTATATGAAGTTATTAAACAATTATCAACATTACTATTGTTACTTGTACATATTGCTTTATCAGATCGTTTAATGAATAAAATGATTTTAGAATTTGCTACATCAACACAACACTTATATCCTAAAATAGTTGTATATACAATTTCTGCTGTTTTTTTGTGTTTTAATTATTGCGAGTTATTTAGCTAAAGTTAATAAATGGACGTTATTATTAATGAATAGTATTGCGCAAAGAAAGTCAATAGGTATGGCTATATGGAGACTAAATTTGTCTTATGTTAAGTAGATATCCATCACATAAAGCTGCTAATGCATTGTAAGTATTTACTTAAATCATTTATCCTTATTAGTTTTTTTAAAATTTTTTATATTAATTTTTAAAGAAGAAAATTTATATTAAAATTTCATAGCGATGATTTGATAGTGAATTAATATTGTATGAGTTTTTTTGAAAAATTATTAAGACTTACACGTACAATTCAACTTTATTTGGCAGAGATAAGTAGTAATGCAGTAATGAAAAGAAAATATTTTCCATGCTCGAGTGTTATCAATTTACTTATTATACTTATCTATGTCCATCACTATGGCTAGATAATAAATTAATGTTATGTTCTTTAATCTGATCATAAAATCAATAAATTACACTGCAGTTTAAGGTAAATACTTTACTCTATCTAACGAGCTGTAAATCAAAAAAAAAATCGATAAATCTCATTCTAAAGTTGGCTTTTTTGTTCTCCGAGAACTCTAAAGTGAATGTCAAAATGAATATGCAAAGATAATAGAGTATATATGTTTTACGTTTTTAGGTTTCCATCGATATTATCACGTTTCAGTACTCGTTTTGAAGAGGATTAGACAATCGTTTATTTCTTGTTGCTGATCAAGAATATTATCTGAAGGTATTATAAAACAGATAATAAAGCTTGCAAATATTAATCGTATCAAAGAAAAAGAAATCTCTTTTATTTATTTTAGTCAACGAATATTGAATATGAAGTCAATTTGAAATAGAATTCACAAATGAATCGAATACAGGTTAATTTACTTGCAGATATTCAACATACGATATTATCATCGTCTTGATCCTTTCGAATATTTGCCCATCTTTAACTGGACTTGGATCCAGTGATGTTTCCTTTTATATGTCTTTGCATGTCTACATACCTTTTTTTCGATTAGTAGCGATCAAGAATTCCTGCACATGATGTATGCTAATACGTATTATTTCCTTTTCTCTATTATTTGTTGTTGCTCTTGTTATTATTATTTATGTTTATTATCTGCTATGCAACGAAAGCACATCATTTCATCGATTAAAAAATAGAGTATGTTTCAACGGATAAATGAATTTAATGACAAGTTTTCACAGCACATTATTTTATGAAAAAAAACTTCATAAATATTGTAAAATTCTTTCTAGTTTTGATATTGAGTGCAAGTCAACCAAACAAACAATTGTTCTCAAGATAGAAGAATAAGCGTAGAGATAGACCATGACAGTTAATTGTCCTCTAGACTCGTATGATGTTTCAATCTAATTAAATGATAACGTTAACCGCTTACTAGAATACTTTTGACAAAATGTCGAAGTTGTATTTGCGAAATTCCGTTGCCAAAAAAAACTTGATTATTGACAATTGCCAAAAACTCAGTTGATTTAAGAGGAAAATTTCAATGCAAACACAACTTTCGGCGATTGCCCAAAGTTAACTGCCAAATTCATGCTACTCACTTTTACAAGCATATCATCGCATTTGAAACACGAAAGAATATTTCTATTCAACCAACGTTGGAGAAAATATTTCACTTCTTTTATGAAATTGCTACTTATTGTCTATTTAAAACTAACAAACATCTAATCTAATCTACCAATGTAAATATTGACAAAGAAGAGCTGAAATACTCGGAATTTAACATATGACAAAGATTACAAAACTAGATGGAAGAATATAACATAGATGATAGATAACTATGTTATGACAAAGATAAAAGAAATATATAGTAGTTCAGATGTGTTTTTTCTGTTTAATATCCATTTATCAAAAGTTTTATATGAAAGGTACGAAAATGTTATGTATTTTATCTAATTTAAATGATTCCAGATTGGATACTCAGTTATTTAAAAACACTAAGGATAAGATCCGTAATTAATGATAGAAGTATCTAGCTAGTCGTTCACCGCGTGACAATGATGATTGTCAGTCACGTCGATGACGTAACTCTAGTGACATTAATTTCTAGACTTGACAACAATTTTTAGTTAGTTGATGTCAGAGCACTGTATATTTTAATGATATGCTAATTTGAGGTCAAAAAAAAATAAATGTCTAATCTCGTTAATTTAGGTGAAAGCGTACAGCTAATCATAATCTCAACCAATGATACATTAAATTACTGTAAAATTATCCAAAGTTATAAGAAACTTATATTGTGATTAAGCGAAAGGATGATTTTTGTATGAGATCTAAATTAATGGTAAAATATTTTGATCATCAAATCGTTCACTTGAATTTATTCAAATTAATTATTTGTAATAGAATTATATTCAAGAAATTAAAATAAGAGCATAAATAAAAGAAAATTTACATATTGAACAAAATGTAGAATTCATTCGAAGTGTTCAACTTGAAGAGATTTGAGTTACACAATCATTGAAAGTAGATGAACAAGTAGTTTTTCATGGATTTTATTTCAGTCTCGTGTTTGCAGGGTACTAACTAGAAAAATATTTTAGATTGAATTTAAATTTCAATACGAATAATTGTTCAATAAAAATATATAATTTTTCTAAGTGATAATTCATGATAAGATAATACTATTCTAGAAAGAAAATATAAATCACGTTTTGTTTTTACACAAAGTTAATTATTTAAATATTTCAATGAGCATATTTTTTGTTTTTATAAACAGCAAATATGTTATACATGTCTGAGTAAAATTATGAAAATGCAATAGATTAAAACAAGATTATTTTTTGCATAAATCACCACAAGTTATTTTACAAAATTCAAAAATCATTTTTGAAAAGTATTCAATCGTTACTTTACAGTTTATATCATTTTTACAACTCTCGCTCAAGTATTTACTTTGTCTCTGTTTGAATTCTGAGAACGAAAAAAAAAAACATGCAGCGTGCGAGAGGTATTAATCATATTCTAGTCAAATCATTGTTTCTCATAGTGAATTCACAATGTATTTAGTTTATTGTCATATAGGAAATGAAATTCGTATTCATTTAAATCATATCCATAAACATATTATGCTTCTTTTTCTGTTTATTAAATATCATTAAAATAATTCAGTTATTTGCTTATTAATTATATGAAAACATTATCTTTGATTATTTTTATAAAAACAAATTTACAAATAATTAAATAAATCAAAAAAGTGTTTCAAGTTTTTCAACAATTATTTGAAATTAAATTTAATTTAAAGAAATCCATTCAACCAAATGATTTTTGTTTATCATCGAACAATTGAGAAAATATATAAAATATTCTAGCCATTCATTATTTAATAGAAAACGATCGACTTTTTCCTATAGAACAGTTTGGATTTTAATCAGAGATGTATTTTAATTTTAAGCGATTTATGATAGTTTTGGTTAGATTGCTATTATTGATATCTAGTGATGCAACCAAGATTTTCTATCAGTTTCGACTGACCACACTTCTCACATCGTTATTATTTGTATCTCAAATAACAGCATGTTTTCTTTACTGCTGTCTTCTGTTGATACTAATATTGAAACCATTCTTAAACGGAGAAAAATGAATAAAAACGGACCAAATAGGGTGTGGGTGTGGGTGGATGGGTGTCATTGTAGAGGTGGGGTGTGGGTGTGAAAGTTCTGGTCAGCTGTACCCAGATCTCATAGTCATCCCCAGACTCATCCTTTTTTGGAAAAAGTCAAAAACCAAGGGTTTTATAGAGCTAGACTTTGATCTCTAATGATTGTAAACAATAAACTAGACTGAAGTCATCATTCAGAAAAGAAATTGTGCCTTTCTAGAATGCTCTATTATAAGATGCTAGTGTTCTCATAAAACCCACGAAAGCCTCTTTTTGCCTCCAGAAATGTGAAATACTTCATTCAGTGAGCGTTCAAGATGATTATTTCTGATTTTTCAAGCACAAGAGTTTCATTAGAAAAATTGCCTGTCACCTAAGTCCTCAAAATGATATCCATTCAGATAGCTCCTTTGTTCTAATGTGACCTATAATTGCCTATTCTCCAGTTAAACTTTTTACTATCGAATTTATTGCAGCTAGACAATGTGATAGAGAGATTGTTCGGAAGTATTAGAATAAGTTCATTTCATAAAGGATATGGGCTGATTATGACTGTGACTGTGGGTGAACGTTGAGGACGGACTTTTCTTCACTCTCATCCACACCAAATGGAGAAATGTGAGGCTCTGAGAAACAAATAGAAAACACCGAATTAGAATTGTTCAGCACTCCATTAAGAAGTCTTTGAAAAAAATTACGGTGACCGATGAAGAAAAATTTATCCTTACATTCACGTTTATATTTCTATTTTATTATTATGAAAAAGAATAGAAAAAAGCTTTATTTTTATTTGATATTCTACTTAGATTAATAGCTTGATCACATATTTCAAGTTGTTGTTCAGTTTTAGTTCGATAACCTTTAACTGATGGTGTTTTCCTTATTTTAGATTCGGATTGATCAATAGGAATGTTTGCTTCTTTACTCTAAAAAAGATTATTCAACATAATATGTATGTCTTTTTCTCACTTGTTTATAGTAAATTTAATAAAGATTTAAATATTTTCTATTGATAAAAAAACATCTGCAAATTAATCACAGATTTTATTAAAAGATGGGAAAACTTCACAATTCTTATTTCTCTTAAGAAGAAGAAAGTTCGAAGTTTTTCTCGACTATCAAATTGGAAGGCCAAATTTCTTTGTCAGTTCCAGAAGATCACAAGATGCAATAGCAAAGTGATTTAGTTTTCTCGTAAATAATCTCTCACGAGTTTTTGCTTGGAATTTACTCTTATTAACTTTTCTAAATGATGCAATTGCACGATTCACACATTATCAGATAGAGAACACAAGCGGACAGTTCGAATCCGTTATTTCTGGTAAAATTGAGTAAATTGTTGAAGATTTCTTCTGAATATGTATTATGTTCCAAAAAAAAACAGATGATGTTTATAATTAACATCATTGATTGAATATGAGAAGATCTATTCATTAAAATGAGAGAATAAATCCTCTCTAGATAATTCTCCCTAACTAAAAACTTCTAAATAAAGACAATAGATCTGATCGAATCTGAATTCTAGTTGATATGTGATCCTTTTGCATGTCTATATAATTTTCCTCGAAAAATCTTGTCTCTTTTGTTTTGAACTGTTTCAAGATTAGAATCTTTTCATCAATTTCATTGTAGTAGGGAGAAGAAGTTAAGGAGAAAATCCTTCGAATCAGGGAGAAAGTGCCTAGAAATCAAAGAAAGTTTTCTCCTTTAGAGAAAACTACTATTTCTCCCTGAAAAGTAAAGTGAAAATTTTCTTTGTATTAAGAATAGTTGATTTTCTATGAAATCCTCAGATAAGGTTTTTCTCTTGGTAGAACTAGATGTTTCTCTTTGAAAACCTGGGAGAAAGTTTTTCTCTTTTGCATAAATTTTTTACATTTGCTCTATAGAGGATAACAAAAAAGCCAAACAGAAGTCAATAAGAATTTTCTGGCAGAAAAGTCAAGCACAAGAGAAAATCAAGCTAGGAAAAAACCCCCGAGCTTTCCATCCCTAATCATATACACTTTCTGTTGTCTGTGCACGAATAATAGAAATAAACGAAAATCTTTACTGATGAATAACAGTTGTGAATTCATAAAGTTATATGAATCACTTCATTCACGCGTATGTATGATCTCTATAAAATATATATTTAAAATATAAACTAGAAGTTTCGGATATTTTCATGAAAAAATTTTCGAAATGTTTAAAACACGTTAGTTATTTATGTACCTGGCTAAAATATTAGGGACATGCGTTTTCGAATTTGAAGACATAAGAAGAGAATATATCACATATGAAGATCCAACATTTTATTTCAACATTTGTTTGATATACACACAAAAAAAGACAAAGAGAAAAAAATATGTAGATTTCATTTCATCCTTCCTCATCACATAAGTATACGACTACACATACACACAAAATATCCTATTGATGATAACCACCTGGCTTCTACAATAACAAACAAGAATATATGAGACAGGATATGAAATTGTAAATAAAAAGAACACTTACATATTCAGATTTTGTTATAAAATCCATAAGCCATTTGATCTTTTTTTTTATATCATTATTTTCAAAATCATTATTTTTAAAATCGTTCATGAATTTGTCCAACAAAACTTTATTCGATCTTAATTTCATTGTAAATTCATAAACTTGTTCTAAATGCCAGGCTTGTCCATATTGTAACATGTAAACGAATTTTTGAATATCTTTAAAAACAAAAAAATAAGATATGAGAATTTTTCAAATGCTCAAACAATTTATTTTGATTTTACCTTCAGCTTCTATTTGCATTTTATTTTTAAAGAAATGGTGAATACGTTGCTGTGTTACATAAATGTGTGTTGCTTCTTTTATAACAAATTCATCAGAAAACGAATCATTGAAATGATTTTGATCATATTCATGTGCTTCATCGTTTTCAAAAGACCAGTCTGTATTATTTTCTTCATTTGAAGTGGGTTTCTACAACATAGGATAAGATCAAAGATAGAAATATAAGAAAAACGGTATACTACTGTTCGATATTTAAATGTATTATTGTTTGTTGAATCATGTAATCGAGTACTGAAGATAATTGGTCGATCAATATTGCAACCATTTTTGGATCGTTTTGATATATCATGAGGTTCATTTTCACCTTGTGTACTGCTACTATTTCCTGTTAAATAAATAAAAATATTGAAATCAATATTCTATCTGAATATGAATTTGGATTTACATATATTTAATAATCTGTTTATTTATCTGTTTTTATAGACTTTATTTATACCTGAATTTATTCCAGCAGTTTTACAACTGTTGAGCTGTTTTTCACAGTATTCTTGAAATATTTTTAATTCACGTAAAATGCAAGGTTTTACAGCTGTTGCAGAAGATGAATGTAAATTATCATATAAAAATAAATATGATCTATTATTTTCAGGTATGGAATTATGTGCGACAAGTAATTCACTATTTAAATCATCGCATTGTAAAAATCCAGTGTAAGTTTTAATACCAAGATGCAAAATTAATGTGTCAACAAGATCAATAGGTAAATGTGTTCGGGCAAATTTTTCAAATTCAAAACTATCAATTTCTTGATATCGTTTTCTTTTTTTATTGGATGTCATTGTATTTGAACTGGAAGTATGTTGAAAATAGAGAAGAAGGATATGAAATGAAGAATAAAAAAATGTATATGCAACTTTAAGATGTATCTTTCTTTATGATATATTAACAATGAAGACAAGCACAATAATAAAACAAACAAAATCTCCAAATAATGGAGTGGTCAAATTGCTATCAAATCAAATTTGTGTATATGGTATGTACGCGGTTAAGATAAGCTACATTCACACGCTACACACAATAGTGTGTGTAGCTTATCCTTGCTTGTTTTAACCAATAGAATTACTTTCCATTTTTTATTCTCATATATCCATACATTTTTTGACTTATGTTGAAAAAATATGTTTAGCGAGACTTTTGTTGAATTACAAGATATATTTTAAAATAAGATGTATATGAAAATAAGGCAAATACTCAAATCAAACCATATGTTATTTCCATTTCATTTAATTATTCATTGCAATCACTGGAGATTAAAAATTCAAAAATGAGCCGAGTCAAAATCTAATTGTACATCATAAATAGAAAAACTTGAATTAATTTCTCTATTATATGGGCAAATATTTTTAATTTTCATTCAAGAGAAACTAATATCTTCTCGCAGAAGAAAATTAAGCGTGTTTTTTTTATTATTTATCGATGTTTAAATTTATTTTTCTGGGCTGCTTAGTTACTGTTTTAAATTAAATAGATTTGAATGTTGAGAGCTTTTTGCTAAGAAACTTCCTGAAAGATGAATGAATAGAAAACAAATTTGTTCTAATTAAATAGTAACTTTTTCATTACATAAACTTTTATGTGAGTGTTTAATATTAGAATTATTATTTCTTTCATATCCTAAATCATATCGGAACTAATCAACATTCGGCAAAAAACTTCATGAACATAGTATAAATGTCAAACTTTTCCTTTATATGAAAAAGCCATGTTATTCCATTTCTTCCATGAATATCAACAAAAGAAAAGCATCTCGAACTTCACATAAAGGTGGGCGATTGAAGTTCACTTCATGTCTTTCTGCCGTCAAAATTCTATCGATTTCTCAAAGTATGTTTGTTTGTAGTTGATAAAACCGAAATGGAGCGTAGTGTTGATGCCAAACGTAATATGATTTTCCAGCATCTGTAAATGAATTTTCATTAAAATAGAATTTTCTTGCTTTGATTCATATGTCTACAGTTTCTACGAATAAAAAAGTAGACTGCTTAGAGTGAAAGAGAAAGAATAAAAGATTCTTAATCGAAAATTCACTTAAAAATATTTCTTTTGGATATTTGACTATATATCTCCGAGATAATTTAATCTCATTTCTCAGTTTATTTCGTTCTTTCAAAGAGCATACTTTTATTGTGCCTTCAAAGCATCTTTTAAAATTATGAACGAGTTGATATCGGTGCCACTAATAAGGCCTATATAAGATAGAAAAAAGCGTACTTGATGAAAGTAACATCTTTAAACTACTCAGATATTTGTTCACAGTTGAGTAGACTGAGGTGGGATAAAAATTCTGGACATATACATACTAGAAAATAAATTCTGATTTTAATTAGTTCGTTTTGATTATCTTTAATGGCAACTAGACATTCGAAACATAAGTAGATACATATATAAAGACCTGCTAGTTTACAGTTTTGCACAGACATCGTTTTAGATCCTTCTAAATATTTGTTCTTAATGCTGTAATCTAAGTCAAAAATAAATCTGAATATATATAGAGAGACAGAGTATGAAATACTCAGTCTAGCTGACTACTTTTTTCTCTTCAGTTGCTTAAAATCAGTTGAACATTGAATGGTAATTTTGCGCAAAGACTTGGTGCACATAGGTTAAAAATTATGAGTAGTCTAATTACCGGAACTAAAAGAAATTGGATGTAATAGATTATACATTGTTTACAAGAACAAGAGACTATTTCTGATAATGAACTGATTTTTAATTGATATTGTATTAGAAAAATTGTTTTAAATCATAAAACAGAATATGATAAACGAGAAAAAATAATATTTACTAGTTTTTGTTCATTTATAATAAATGAAATACTATTTTATGTGCGCTACAATTTGAGAAAAAAATTATTTAAACAAGTCGGTACTTATATATTTCATTGTTAATATCTTATTATTTGTGATAGATTGTATTCACATCACATCAAAATCCAGAAAATGAAAACATTTTTATATTCGCTTTTTTTATTTTATTCAAACGATAATATACATAAAACTTATATCTTTCGTTAGCGACACGAAACGCCCTCTTTCATATTTAGAGGTTATGTGTCATTTTAATGCAATGGCGATTTTGTGTGTGTACGTCGAAGTGTGTGTAGATTATCTCAACCTATGTACGCTGAGCTTAATGACTTATCGAATCAATAGCAAATGCTCTATGATTTGTCCTTTGGTTTTTTGAACGGGGCTAGATATAATTTTGATACCAATCGATAGAGAAAATTATTCTCTATCGAACTGTGTTTTTGATTTTTTT